TGTTTGCTGACAAATTTGTCTTTAGTGATAATACTTGGATGTAAACTTTTTTATTAAGATGGATATTACATTGATCTGTATAAAGGATTTAAACTTATTTATTATTTACTTACATATACCAAAAATGTCTATATATCATTACTTTTCACAAGGCTTAAATATCAGAAAGCTATAAGAGCAATAGCTGAATATATACTTAACTCAATTCTTCGATACAATCAGTCAGACCATCCCTTACAATACCAATAATAATAGATCAGAACCTAAAGACCTCGAATGGCGATCTCATACAGTCAAACTTAGTAGGGCGACCTCCAACGAAGTACAAGTAAACCTCATAAATGCAGAAAGCAGACTATGAGCATTATAGCTCCTTTGCACTGTGTAGCTATAGATAGGTTGAAGTCGTGACAAAAATATTGTTAAATTTTTTTTATTTAACCATACACAATGCAGTCCAATCTAAAGTATAAAAGCCGAGAACTGAAAAAAATGTAAATACCTATATATTTTTATAGAAAATATCACGACCAATATAAATATACTTGTAAATACTTGTATTATACGGAGGTGAAAGCCATAACCGTCATATTATTATATCTACATAATAAGTGAACTTTATTAAGACTTTAGAAAGACACTATGTGTATTTTTATTTTACTCACTAACTTTTGTTTTTAAAGCCGTTTGCAACTATACAGATAAAAATTTTTAAATTTCAACTTTGCAGCCCGTCTTAAAATCCAATTCCCCGATTCCCATCTCTAGTCAATAGTTTTCATATATTCTGAGGTTTATAACGGTCCTCGTAGTCCATAAGTTTGGTAACATAAGGAGCAGAAACGCCTCTGGGATTCACCTACTATGTTGAACAATAGAGCGGCCATTTGGAGATAATAGTGCTTGTAAATTATGCATATGAACATGTAGTATGTTGAGTTAAAGAACTTAAATCTTATTTATTTATTTTAGCTATAAAGTTAAGATGGCTTAATTATTATATTTATACATGACTTAGTTTCAGTACATGTATATAGGTATGTATTTGATGGGTAGATTCGTTATGAGATATCATGTACACGAAAATAATGGATCTGGGTAAGTGTAGATGGTATGAAATGTTATATATGTACGAGGAATATCTTGTATTATGAAAATTTTATCTCAATTTCTACAATACAATATTTTTCAACCTGTCAGTTTTTTTTTTTTTTATTTAGTCTATTAAAATACTTAAAGCAATATTATCAATATAATAAAAAAAACTAATAGCTTCGCTGATAACTATCGTATCAGCCTATAACTGTCCACTGCTGAACGTAAGTTTTCTCCTTAGGGAGTTTTGCCAGTAGTTGCCATGCTTGACAAGCGGATTGGCAACCGCAGTTAGGCTTTGAAGATGTTTTAAGAGGCACGCTGCTGCCCATCCCTTGTTTCTCCCTTAGTCGCCTCATACGATACCCACGGGAAAGAAAGAGCTGGCCTATTCTATCCCAGGACCACGCAGCGAACTAACGCGTGATAATTAATGTGTCGAAATGATGAATGAAACTATTTGAATAAAAATTAACCATAACCAGAATGAAATTACGGGATACATTTATATTATTTTTTACGATAACATTTTGTTCAAATAGCGGTAGTATTAAATTAACTGTATTTTTTTTATTCCATGAATTATTTTCACGTAAAGAACCTATATTATGACCAGTATATACACATATATAATTTAACATATGCAGTTTAACACCTCTATTATTTCTCCCGGTGGTTTTTCTATATATACAATAGGTTTTGCGGTTACCCCTTTCGCTCACAGAGTACATATTCAACGCATTGTTTGTTGCAGACTCGACACAGTTTTTCTTTGTGTCATTATCTACCACGTCGTTATGTACATAAATAATAAAATTCTAAAAGTGTAACTATAAAACTAACTATTTGTAGTAAGCTGACATACCTTATCATTGTGATAATACACTAATATCCTCTTATTAAGTAGACAGACAGATTCTTTGCAAATACGAGTAGACTTGCAATTGTGAATAATATTATGAATAAAATGTTATTTAATTAACAATAAAAAAAATCTCATGACTAAATAATAAAGATTATTAGAACAGGAAATATTGAAGTGTTTTAATTATTAAATAATTATATTATATATTAATTAATTAATTATTATTTTAAAAGAAAGAAAGAAACATTTGTTTAATATTTAATTTTACATTAATTAAAAAGAATAACAATAGACAAAAAGAAAAATAAAAGCACCAAAATGGTGTTATTAACTATGTATATGTCATGTCCTTTTTTTGGATATGATGCTAATTTTAAATAATAATAATTAGTTAAAAAGAGAAAACACCATTTTAAATCAATCAAGAATACATACGTTAACAAAAAATAGACTAATAAAGGTATATATTCGGAATTAGTAATAAGAAATGGTATGCAAAGTTTTCTTACTTTTATTTTTATTTTCTGGTGGCCTTTCGATAGGAGTTTTATTTTATGCAACTTAGAATGTCAAGCAAACTAACAGCCAACCTGATGAAAAATGGTAACAGTGGTCTATATACATGAACAGTACGTTGGACATAACATAATGTGTAATATAAGCATAATGTGTCTCCCATGATACTCTTCATACGTTGCCATTTCTAAGGACTAAAGTGTTGTGTCCCTGTGCTCTGTAATTTAGTTAACCCAAGCAGACGACTTTTGTACAAAGTATCCGTCTGGTCGTTTATATTAATTAATAAATCTACTAATGTAGATTTATTCTCAATATATTTTAGCTCTTCTTTGGATCTACATTTCTTTATTATACATACAATAATATTATGTATGGAACATGTTGATTGTGAGGGTCCTTATCAAGCTCCACTATAAATTTAGTTTCTACAAGTTTTATATTCAATATTAAATTCTTTTTTTATATATGCACCATAATGTAACATAACCAACAATAAGAAATTGCAAACTCTTGCCAAACCGACAAGCTATAGGTCTGTGTGTGTACAATGAGACCAGATTTACTGCGCAACAGTTAAACTTTTTGCTATTTGAGTACAAGTTTTTGTTTTACGCGTGAAGTTTTTATTACTCAAATGTTCTAAGGAACTCATGTGGCGTTACATTACAAAACGAGCTAAATACTGAATTCATGGAATATTAGTATATTAAATCAGAAAATACGTTAATATTACTTCTAATACTACAGTATTTCATTTTCAAGCAATAATAATGATAAAAGAAAAGAATAATTCACAAGAATCCTAAGAAGTATTAAGAAGACTAATTAATATAACAAATATATTACTTAACAAAAAAAATTGCTTCAATCTATAAACGAAACAAACCTACAAACGATATGAAATTTCGTAAATACCCTACAACCTTTTCAATCTCTCTAAAATCATTAATCAATATAAAAAGGAAAAAAAATTAAGTTTAATCTATCAAATCAGAAAAATAGATTTTAAATCGAAAGCAAATCAAACGCCTGCCTATATCTGAATCAAAGACGAGAAAAAAACAAAACGAGGAGAGATAAAAAGATCTCTATTACTGAGATAAAGAAACACCTCGATAGCACTCAACGTCGTTCTCAAACTGTAGAATCGATAGCACAAACAGTTTTAACACCGAAAAGGCAATACTTGAAATGGCCCGGTAAATAGGAAAACGTCTGAACGCGTTCCCTAATTGCAATGGAGAAACTAATAAGAAACGCTGCAAAAATAAGCTTTCTTTCACACGGAGCATCGAAATACTCATATAATTCTTTAGAAATGTTGTTCATGAATACAATTTTATTATTATAAATGCTTCTGAAATTGTAGATCATAATGTTTTTTCGTTTAACTGTAATCAGACTTGATTATCAATTAAGTTTCGTATACATATAAGTATCTACCATAACGTCCACTAATAGCAGGGAGTCAGTAGATACAGGTGGTTTAGAACCGGTCATTATGTCTGTCTTTGGGCGACGTGTATGTTCAGCAGCAAAGAGATGATGGTTGAGATGACGATGAGATGACTATAAATATCGTATCATTATATGTTATTATATATTAATAATTATATTTTCCGTGTGGTCCCGGCATAGAATGCGCCATCCCTTTCTTTCACATGGGTGTCGTAAAAATCGACTAAGTGAGGGCGAGGGATAGGCAGCAGCGTCCTACTTAAAACATCTCTAAAGTCTAACTGCGGTTGCCAACCCGCCTGCCAAGCATAGCAAATGCTGGAAAAACCCCCCAAGGGGGACGCTTATGTTTAGCAGTGGACAGTTAAAAGCTTATATGATGAATAATTATATACATTTATAAATGAAAAATACAAACCAACACTAAAGTGTTGATTGAATGTAGGAACCAACAACACTATATTTTTTTTATATATAATTTAGAATGATGAACTATAATCATTTATAAGATAATAATATTAACAGTATTATAAAATTTACGGGTAGTATTTTCCTGTTAGTATGTTATAATGTTGAGCAATATATTTTGTAAATTATATTTATTATTTATTTCGTTATCCATTTTCTCTTTTCATTATTTTGCATATTACGTATTGTAAATATTACATATAATATAATATAGATATAAGTATGTTCTGGCTTTAACTACGAATCAAATTATAATACCAATATGTCATTATACAAGTTTTTGCCTACGAATTCGTACGCATATCTTTGATATATTGATTATTATCTATAACAAAAAGTAACCTATATACTGCACAGACAGAATCTAATTTGTTATCTTTGTTCTGTTTCTTCTTTCGTTTATTTTGCCTGCAATATGCACGTGTGTGTGTATATATATATATATATATATATATATATATATATATATAATATGTTAAAGTAATAAATGTCTATCTGTCTATACCCTCCTACATCTTAAATACTACGTATATATCCAGTTTTTAAATTAGATGACCTGTTAAGATGTCAAGATTAGATAAACGAAATAACTTACCTTTACATTTATAATATTTTCCTTCCTTCTTTCCCTCAGGATCTCAGCATTCGACATTTTTCTCTCATTTTACAAGCACGACCACTGGAATATAAAAGTTTACGGAACGAATAAAAAGACGTATACGCCTTAACTTTTAAATAGCAGGAGGTCCGTGTCGCGATCTCGAGTGATTTATAGAGACAGGAACCTGCCTTATCTTGGGTGGAAACTATTTAAATAGGGATGTTGTCTTTCTAATGGGTACTTCCTGTTTTAGTCCCCAATCCAACTTCGGTAAAAAAAATATGAATTAAATAAAGTAATGAATTCTCTCTCATACTTGGTGTTTGATATAACATTAATAAATACTCCGGTTTGTGCAGTTATAACATTTAACATATTTATCGGTTTTAGTTTTAATTAAATAGATATATTATAATAAAATTTACAGAGCAACAATTAGACAGTCTTGTAGTAGTAAAGGATAGTGTTACACAGAGGGCGTTTCAACCGCGCAATGTATATAAAAATATGCACGGCCTACCCGCTACGTTTATGCCGGTCCGCCATTGTCTAGGCATGTATTATTGTTGACACTTGACTAATACATGTTGCTGTTGTTTTTTTTTTTTTTGGAAATTTTTAAAGAAAATTATATAAAAAAGTACTTTTTCCCCCTTTTTTAAAATGTTTTTACTTTAAATTATAATAAAAGTTATAACAATTTAAATTCGTTATAGTCGTAAGGTACATTCTTAATGAAAAGTTTATATTTTTAATTAAAAAGCAATAAATAATTCTAAGAGTTATTTTCAGTAGTCGACAGTTAATAGATAATGTGGTATGGTAAATAATTCTAAATAATTGTTAAGTTATTTACGTCAATATTCTGTTTAATCCAACATTTACTGATGACAAATAATTATCGTTACATCTTATTTAATTTAATGTGTATTTTTCTTTCTATGTAAAAAAAAAACAATACAGAGAATTAATACCATTAATACACAGTAATACTGACACGAATTTCCCGGAACCATAAATTAACCAAATATAAAATATTTCACAAAAATTGGCCGTGAGATATAGACACCTGCTGAGAAAGGATTTTTATAAATTCCCACGGGAACGAAAAAGAATGGGCAATCTTTACTAAGAACTTCAATGTTTTCAAACTGATTCTCATACCTACCAGAATGTGGTAACCGTCAGAAATGAACAATAACTAATATATGTCTAAAATATCCACGTAAAATATTTGAGTTAGTTACCGAAACCATTTCGTCTTTACCTTATAAAATTGCAATGCATCTTGTTATATAAATAGGGCATTTATGATTCCTTTATTAATTCATTATTTTCTCACAAACTGTATAAGAACAATCGATAGAATTTTTGGAAAAAAAAAAACTCCTTCGCGAAGTGATTTAAAGAAGTAATTTATTTATTTATTTATAGGATTACCAACATAAGATACAGCTAAACATTTTAATACAATACACTGGTAGATCTTACTGTTCTTATATATTTATCTTATAATTACAGGGAACAGATCTTTCTTTTTATTTTTTTTTTTAATAGATACTACGTATTGACTTACTCATACTTTATTCACGTGAGAAATAGTATCAAATAATGAATTATAACTATGCTTATACAGTGACATTCACGATGCAACCTAAACTATGTCATGACAAACTGACGCTCGGATACAGCCGTCGAGAACATTATCTTCAATGTAACATTTTTTAATATTAGAAATTGTATATCTTTTATAAAAAATATGAGTGTTATGATCAGAATTTATGAAATCTTTTACGTTTTCATGGTTGTTTTTGTGCATAATATGCATTTATTGAGAGGTTTTTGCATTTGTCTATTTTTGACAGATTTAAAGATGATGCTCGTTTGGTGTGAAGCTTTAAAGGCTCGTATCAAACGGGCGAATGCGACTTTTTAAGAGTACTCATTAACTTAAATATACTTTTTTGTAAATACATATATAATACACATAGAAACAAACAGAGATCTTCACCAATATAATATTTGTAAATATAAGCTCTCAATTTTGTATAAAGTGTATATAGTTTTCGTGTGGTCCCTGCATAAAATGGGCCACCTTTTCTTTGCCCTTGGGTGTCGTAAGAGGCAACTGAAGAAATTGAATGGTCGAAAAATGGGTAGCACCGTCCCCCTTAAAACACCACCAAAGCTTTTGCCAACCCGCCGTCCAAGCGGTGGCAACTACTAGCAAAATACACCTTATGAAGGAGCCCTATGTTCAACAGTGAGCAGGTAAAGGCTGATATCACGAGGATATAGTATACTATTTTACTAACCAAATTTCTCTCCCATTTTTATTATTTCTTTTTTTTTAATTTTTCTAAAACTGTATTAGAATTTTTACATCTAAAATATATAGTTATTTACAATTCCATATGAAAATTATTATTTCAAATGTAAACACACTGGCAACGTTAATTCTGTTCTACATTCGGAAATATATATCATTTCTAGAACAAACAATTTGTATGTCTACTATCTGGGCGGACCCAATTTGTTTGATTTATATCATATGTTCCGTTTTCCGTTTTATTATCACTTACTCATGTGTGTTTGCAGATATTGTTTTTGCTAATTCGTAAATGTTAAAAAAAAACCATAATGGCTGGATTAAAAAATGAGAAATCGACGATCTCAAACTCACCAGTAGGTACTTCACGTATTCTTTGAATGAAGACGCAAGGAAGCACGTATGCACACTCACACACATGTACACGCACGCATATTTACGCACATATAAACGCTCGCACACAAAAACATGCACACAAAGAAAGAAAAAGGAAGAGAAAAAGAGAGGGAGAGGTAGAGACATACATATGACAGTGGATACATATACTTACAACACACTATAAGAGCTATAACGTAAAAATAGGTTGATTAAAACACAAATATGAATAGTAAATAAATGCAACTACTGTGTGTATTCATGTGTACATATAGCTAAATTTTAAATAGATTTCACTTAATTTAATGTACAAAAAATATGTCGAAAAAAATTTGTGAATTGACGATTTATTGCGAGGAGAATTTGCTATTAAAATAAGTACCTTTTGAAACTTATAAGTAAAATTACTTTTATGTAAATTGAGGTGGTTGAAAGTATATCTATTTGTCCATATTACACTAAATGTGAAATAAAAAAAATAATAAAATCATAAATGTGCTTGGTGTTAATACGATCATTCTAGGGAAGTATTTGACTCAGTGTAGAAATAGTCACGTATAATGCGGTTTAAAAAAAAAAAACATAACTTTTCCCATTTTATATTCCACAGCACTAGTTTAATAAAAAAAAAAATACTTACATTGTCAAGTATAACAACTTGGCAGAAAGTCATCAAGCGTTATCAGCAGATACCAGCAATGACTCGACACGTACAACACAAGCAAAACACAGAACCGCACTCAGTCAGCCCACTTGGAAACTTTGTGTATTATTTTCAAGTCATGCGATATAATATCTATTACGTCTAATAATAACAAAAAAATCTGTTTTCCTCTAAGCTTGGCTGAAAAAATATTTTAAACCTTGTTCTATTAATGGCCAATAAATCTACTATATATAAATATATTATATAATCATTTTAATTTTTTTTATATTTATTCAAATAATTACATATATTTTTATTTAATATATTATATGTTGTTGTTGTTGTTGTAAAAATCTTTATTGTACATATTATACATTGGTCACATTAAAAGATTTAATATACATACAACGGCGGACTTATCCCACAGAGGGATCTCTTACAGTCAGCCTTTAAGAAGCTAAAAGAGAACTATAGAATGTTTAAAGGTAAAAACCGTACAGCTAAAGATAAACTCAATAATAAAAATATGTATTAAATTATTTTATACAGCTACTTCGGAAGAAATATATAATAAGTTGATCGGAAATAATAAGTTTCAGAAATGATGATTATTTAATTTATAACCAACTTAAAAAAAAAATGTAGACATCACTGGCAGTTAATTTATCTTTATATATCTTTTGCATATGTCTATGCTGGGCTTTAGTAAAATATAGTTTACTCCGTTTTATTATTCTATATTTGTTTGCAGCAATTAAAATGGAGTTTTATATGAAATCAAATGTTAATTTTTTTACAATTATAATACACCTGTATTCAATTTTAAATATCTAAACATATCGGTGAGTACATTACTATACAACACAGTATGAAGCAAATACAACTACTTGATTAAATTTGAAAAGTGGGATGTGGCAAAAGTACAAAGGCAACGCATGAGGGTATCATGGCATTACTGTATATTCTGTTAAGTCTGTGGTACTAGTCATATATGTAGGCGACGGTTACACTTTCTATCAGATAAGCCATAAGCTTGTTTGCCATTCTAAATTGCAATATATATATATATATATATATATATATATCAAAAGTACAAAGGCAACGCATGAGGGTATCATGGCATTACTGTATATTCTGTTAAGTCTGTGGTACTAGTCATATATGTAGGCGACGGTTACACTTTCTATCAGATAAGCCATAAGCTTGTTTGCCATTCTAAATTGCAATATATATATATATATATATATATATTAATTGAGTATTTATAAACTTATTGATTATTGTTTTAAATAATTTATTTTTTATTTTCTTATTCAATCAGCCGTTAACTGTCCACTAATGAATATAGGACTGAGCATATTCAATGGACAAGGGGGTTTTGCCAGTAGTTACCATGCTTGGCAGGCGGATTGGCGATTTGGTTGCGAAGTCCACGAGAAAGGTAAGAGCGATCCATTCAATGACGGGACTACACAGCTAAGTAATTTACAACACATATATCAGCAAGTATTGTGTGATATGAATATTGTAATATCAATTTACCAAACACTATATTAATCAAACTGATTAATACAATTATAGATACTGATGTATCAGCTCCGAACAATCAAGCAATTAATCGCAGTACCTAGTCAACCTATCGCAATACATATATCATTACATCAACACCCATTGTAATTATATATGAATTACTTAAGCTTAGACCAATAATATGTAGATATTCTTCGTATAAATATTTCGATAACACAGCCTTACGTTTTTCAAATTAAGATTTTTTATTCTTGCTTGTCTTAAAACCGAAGTATTTGCAAGACTGTGTTTCAGTTTGAAAAGTATGAAGATTTGCTAGTAAAATCACAAGGTTTGAAAGCTTATGCAACCCTTAATTTGTCACTATTCCTGAAAACTAAAATGTTAGCTTAGTTTTTAGTATTAACAATAAATTTAACCGTCAGTTAGTCCAACTGACCTGCCTTTCAATTGTCACCTATCACCCCTCACTAGTTTATCTTACATTATCGTTCATAAAAATAAAACAACCACTCTTTAGAATTAACTTCCAGAAGCAGTATTTTCGAACCGATACGACATCAAGACCTTCAAGAAAAGAGCATATTCCTTCTTAAAAGACCGGCAGCGCACCTGCAATGCCTCTGGTGTTGTGGGTGATCATGAACAGCGATAGTCACTTACCATCAGGTGAACCGCATGCCCATTTGCCCCCTGTCTTATAAAAGAAAATAGATGTACGTCTTTTGGCCCTGTTGACACTTGACATTTCATGTAGACATACGTGTTCTAGATGATTCGCTTTCCATGAATACCTATCTAGACTAAGCTACATTCTCTGTGAGAGAATTTAGCGTAACCTAGGCTGGTATTCTGGGTTAAGACGTCAGAAATGTAATTTCTTGAAATTTATTTGGTACTTTGAGGAAATTGTTGTAATTATATAATAGGTATTTATTTATTTATAACGTTGTCAAAAAATATCAGTAGCAATTATTACAGAGAGAATACAAAGTATTCTCAAAGCATTTTTATTTCTTTTTTTTTTGAGGTCAAATGCCTAGGCGATCGGGCTTTATTCTTCAATTACATTTTTTATTTTTCATTAAATTAAATTTAACGAGATAGATATACATTTAGGTATCGTCCTCAAGGACGCTTGTCTTTATAATTTATTACAATAGTTCCATGTCAATAGATGCTAATGGAATTAATTTTAGAAATAATCAATAACATTTAATATAAATGTAAGTTCACAACAACAAATTCAATTATCAAAGGGAAAGTGACTGAACATAGATCATTTGCATGGGTACAGTTGTTTTTCGTTGTTTTTGCAGCAATGACTATGTTTTAGCTTGAAAGGTAGGAAATTGTTATAAAATTACAAGGTAAATTACAAGTAATACTTTAGCACTCAGGAATGACACATAATTAGAGTACCAGAGACGTCACAATGTAGTCAATGATATCAATGTTCCTACTGATATATTCACATTAAAGCGAAATGTTGAATTTTGGTTTGAAAGTTGAGATATGGGAGTACAATTATAGAGTATGGAGGCATAATATCTTAATTATATATTATTATATCAGCCGTTAACTATCTACTTCTGAACATAGGCCTTCTCTATAAGAGAGGATATACCAGTAGTTGCCATGCTTGGTAAGCGGGTTGGCAATCGCAGTTATGCTTTGGTTTAGTTTGGCTCAAAACCTATTCTTATAGCAGTCTATGGCCCATGTTTAGCAGTAGATAGATAATGACTGAAATGATGATGAATTTGTGGGTTCTTAATAAGATCAATGGTGCCAAAACAATTATTTTTATAAATTTTGTCTATCTGTTTGTATGACTGCCTGTTTGTATGTTTATTTTGGTATTACACAAAAACTACTACATGGGTTTAAATGCGGTTTTCGCAGTTGTACTCCTTAATGTCTAATATAAAATCTGATATACGTTTTATCTTGATACACTATCTGTAAGTGGAGTATTTCATTGATTTTTCTAGTTCCAAGCGTACAAATAGGTAGGTTAATTATATCTTTTATATGTAATTTTTAAGTAAATTTAAGTAAATTACATAAAAATTAAGTATAAAAGAAATGTGTGTATAAACTAACTCCTAATTTTTACTTTAACATAAAAAAAGACGCGCCACAAAACTTTTTTCTATCGATTTTGAGGATCGCTACAGTACGTGAGCTCCCTTAGCGGCGAGAAGCACGGACATAAATTCTGGGACGCAAACTGAAGCCAGCTGTTTCGCTGTTTTGGGGAAATAAATACGGATTAGACGCGGCGGAGTAAGGCGTAGTATACAACGAACAAGTGAATTATTGATCGTCTGTATATGCCTCACTTTACAGGGACTCAGGCCTTGATTCTTAAGTAATAAAAGTTGGGTCGGTACATATATTTTCAGGGTTCTGCACTAAAATTGTGTAAAGAACATTTACAGTGCCAAGTCCGTCCTTTTATACCAACAACTACTAATACTATCGATTTAAAATTCAATTTATTAGGTGTCTATTTCATATAAAAAATACGATAAACACGTTTAAATTTATTTGTAGTCGGTATATATACTTATTTAAATAAATTACTGCCTATCAAATAAAAAACCCATTTACGGACGTTTATATTTTACTAGCATTTACCCGCGACTTTGTTCGCTCCCTTAAATGTTAACATATCTAAGGGAGCGATAACCGGGATAAAAAGTTGCCTATTTACAAAAGTATCAAATGTGCTTGATTAAACGTTGAAGCACTATAAGGTGACAAACAAACTCAGGCAACTCTTTTTTGGCAGTCACACACGTACTAATGAATATTAAATTTACTATAAATGGTAGCGGAATTAAACAAAGTAAATCTAATCAAAAAACAATACATCAAAGCAAAAGACAAAAAATGTAGTTAAATTTTTGATCAAAGTTCAACGTAATACTCAACATGCCAATGTTGAATCGAGCGTACCAAAATTAGATATATTAACATAGTTACGATAAATATTAAATTGACATAAAAAGTGTTTAGTGTCGACGAAATTTGAACTTACGACTTGTGGGGTCTGTAAAGGTTAATGAACTATTAATGGATTGTTATAAGAGTAATTTAATATATAAATTACATTCTTATTTTTCTACCTTTATTACATGAAAATCATCTTTCTATAGTAAAGTTTTTTTATTTATTTAGATCCGAAGTAGACAAGAGACAACAAACAACACTTGTTTAGATTTTACAATAACATATTGTAAACATTTGAGCTCTTGTGAATTCTGTTAAAGAAATCAGTACCTCTATTTTATATGACAAAAGATTAACATCTGTATTATCATTTAATTATTTAATTGTATATAAGGTTTTTGTTGTGTGTATGTGTTGTGTCCGTTTAAGTAATATTAGACATTATTAATATTTATTTTTATAATTTTGAAAATTATAACTTAAGTTTATTTTTATACCATAAAGGTGGCAAACAAGCATATACATAGCCTATCTGATGATAAATGGTCACTGTAACCTATGGATGTCTGCAATACTAGGGGTATCACGTGCGCGTT